TTTTTTTTAAAACTTTTTTTGGCTTTTCTTCTACTCAAAACCTTTTTTTTTATTTATTTATTTTTTCCCTCTTTGGAACAATGATTTGATTGTTTTGTGCCAAAAACAAAATAAAGTGACTTGATGGTTGCATTGCCACCCTTGCATTTTTTCATGAGATGCACACGTAATAAAGAATTGTTAAAATAATTAATTAAAGTTAAAATTTTAATAATTGACAGTATAATTTAGCAATGTTGATCATACAAATATTATTTCTTTTTATTTTTTTTACAAATAATAAAATCAAAATATTGATAGTACAAAAAGTAGAATATAACAAGTACGCAGAGAGCATTACCATACAAAGAACTTTATAAGAAGGGGATGACATCCCTTTAGTTTGTGATTGAATTGTTGAGTTTGCTAGGGCTTATCACGGATCTCGTTTTGATAATCTGAATTGTTTAATGTGTAGAATTTGTTCAGTACTATACACTTATAAAATATCACGTTAATCAGATATCGATAATTACGTGATCAAATTAATTTTGTAAAAAAAAATAAATAGCGAAAAAATAAACAATTGACAAAAATCTGATTGTATGAGATAGTTATCGATATCTGATTAACGTGATTTTTTTACAGACAAAAATCTGATTGTATGTGATAGTTATCAACGATTTTCACGCATTAAACGGTTCGAATTATCAAAACGAAACCCGTGGTAGACTTTCATAGGCTCAACAATACCCTCAAATCTGATCACAAATTAGAGGAAAGCTGAGTCCTTACGAAAAATGCGTACCACTGAATCCTTTTCCTGATTCTCAAGCCAAGCCGGTCTACGGCTCGAATAGCTACGTAGCGAAATTATTTACATGCATTACACAGATTTTTATTAAAAATTGAAAATATATATATAATAAATTTTATAATTTTAATATAATTATGTCAGTTTTTTTTTTCCCCTCATAAGGCCGAGTCCTGTTTGGGATCTATTAAAATAATCAAAATTTTAAAAAAGTTAAAACCTTGTTTATTATTAATTAAAAAAAATAAAGTATCATATTAATTTCTTCACTAAAAAAAAGTGACTATTTTTTTTTTAAACTTTTCAAATACATTAATTTTTTTGTAATTTATCAAAAAAAAATTAAAAATTTATTAAAAACTTACTAAGAAAGTTAATCTAAAATAATTGAAACTAATGTAGATAGTGCTCAAAAATAAATAAAATATATATAGGGCATTATTATTCTACAGGAAAACAAACACACATCTAATGAATTTGGGCTTGTTCGAATTATTCAAATTTGTACATGTCGGTTGATACATCGGTCATCTGGGAGAATGTTGGTTGATATGCCGATTGATAAAGGTGATAATTGTTGTGAGAGAGATTTATAAATTGGCTTTGGACTGTGGTAGAAGCCGGACAGAGAGAGGTCCGAGCATGTTTAGGGTGAGCTAACGTGGGCTTCTCCAGAATTGGTTCGCTCGGTCGAGGCCCAAGTCCCACATTTGGGCCGAGCTAACTTGGGCCTGTCTAGGTTAGGTTTGCTCGGTTGAGTCCAGCTTCCAAGTTTGGGCCGAGCTAACTTGGTCGAGGTGATTGTCGGGCAACCCGGGTTATGTGGTTCACACATTTAGCTCGGTGGGAAGAGTCTTCTGTATACCGGCTTAATCTGTCTGGAGCTCAGTCGTACCGGAATCCTACTGAGCTCGGTTGTGATGGAGCTCGGCAAGTGGCCCTGTCGGGCTCGTTACATAGCACGGTCGTAGGAGGCCGAGATGAGGTCGTCGGGCTGCCCCATTCCCGCTAATGTTGTCTGGCAGTTTGAGTAGGTGGTGTTTAGCTGGATTTGGGCTGACGGATGTGAGAGCAGCTCCACGTGTCAATAAGCAAATGGATGTAGAGGTGAGCGCTGAAAGTATATAAGCATGACTGCAACCCCCATACTGGCATGGAACATCATTTGGTGAGTGAAACCTAAACATCCAACTCTCTTCCTCTCTCTCTCTCTCTCTCTATCTCTGAGTGTGTGCTAACTTGACCATCAGAGGGGTTTTCCGGCAACACACCGCCGTTGCGTTCACAGGTTGATCGGATAGAAACGGAGCTTGGACGAAAGGAGTACGGGCATTGTGGAATATTTACTCCCCGTACAATTGTGATTGACAATGATGACGCAAGTCATTCGGCGCGATCATTCGAAAAGTTGTTAGGCCAATTGTCCAGATTACCTAATTTGGACAATTCAGCGAGCTCAAATTCAATTGGTCAATCATTTTTTATTATTGTAGTACTTTTCTAACTTAATGATGTAGTAATTAATTGAAATATTTCAAGTAATTTTGTTTTTCATATCTTATCTAAACATTAACCAACTGGATTTATAAAGTGTATATAGAAATTAGATTTGTATAATGAGCAAGGGAGGATTACGTATTAATTAATTAAAAAATTTAATATAATTATGTTAAATTCGTTACATGTTTTTCAAAAGTTGAGAAGATTAGTATATAGAAATTGCTATGAATTCTAAATAATTTATCAAATTTTTTATCAAATCTATCACATAAGTGTGAGACTCACACAAATTCATATGTGTGGGTATCACACTCATATGAGAGATGTGATAAAAAATAATAAATCATTTCCAATCTTAACATAACTTTAATGCCTCATTTAAAAATAAGTTATTTTAGTAATTTTTTAGATTTTTACAAAAAGATATACAGAAAAATAAATAAAGTGATGTGATAATTTATAGCCTCCGTTTAGGAAGTGAGTTGTCTTTTTGACTTTTTGACTTTTTTTTGGCTAAAAAGCTTGATTTGGGACGGGCTTTTTATCTTTTTTAGATTTTTTGACTTTTTTTTAGAGAAGAGTATAATGATTATGGGTTGAATATGATGTTTTGTTTGTTGTGACTAAAATAGCTTATTTTGTCTTTTGTGGCTAAAATAGTCCCAAACCTCATTGCCAAATGGAGCCATAATGATTTTTTAAATTTTTAACTAAAATATATAGGATTATTTTGAGAAGATAGTTAAAAACTATCTTTTAATTTTTAATACATTTTAAGGGGTTGTTTGGGATGACCTAAATAAGTGTACTTTTTGTCTTTTTATGAAAAGATGTGCAGAAAAATAAAGAGGTGATGTGATGGAAAAAAGGTAAAAATATGGATTATTTGGGACTTCCCAAACTTGGCCTAAATCATATTATCTATCATAATTTTTTATAAAAAATTTTAAAAAATTAATTTTCAATTATTTTTTCAAAACACTTCATAATTAACAAACGAGGCCTTAAACGACCTTGTTTGGGAAGTAACTTTTTTTAATTTAAAAGTCAAAAAGTCACTAAGGCCTCGTTTGACAAGTATTCTTTTTTGCCAAAAAGTTAAAAAGTTACTAAAAAAATCAAAAAGCCAACAACCCATACTAAAAAGTCAAAGATTCCATTTTCTCTATACTTTTTGCACATATTTTCTTAAAAAGTCAAAAAATCATTCCAAACATACTAGTTTTTTTTACATCACATTTTAGTCAAAAAAATCAAAAAGTTACTGAAAAAGTCTGTTCCTAAATGAGGCCTAAAAAAATCAAAAAGTCAATAATTTATATCAAAAAATTAAAGATTCTCTTTTCTCTTTATTTTTTATATACTTTTTTGTAAAAAATTATGCTAAACATACTAAGGCCAAGTTTGGCAACTCTAAAATAATTCATCTTTTTATCTTTTTATCTTTTTTCCATCACATCACCTCTCTACTTTTCTGCACATCTTTTCGTAAAAAGATAAAAAGTGCACTTATTTAGGTCATCTCAAACAACCCCTAAATTTTTATAGGGTCCAGCTTGTCTCAAGTTGAGATCAAGACTGGACCCGTCCAGTTCGGCCCATGAGGCCCATTTTTTGGGCTCGTTTTGATAATCCGAACCGTTCAATGTGTAGAACTCGTCGAGTACTATATGGCTATTAAAAATCACGTTGATCAGATATCAATAGTTATGTGATCAAATCAATTTTATATAAAAAATGGACGGTGAAACAATTAACGGTTGATTAAAAAACTGTTTTGTTCACATAGTTATCGATATCCGATCAACGTGATTTTTTACAGTCATATAGTACTCGACGAGTTCTATACATTGAACGGTTCAGATTATCAAAACAGGACTCGTGGTGGACCCTCACGAATCTAACAATACAATCTAATCCGATCTTAAATTGGACCAAAACCACTGCTTTTTTTATATTATATTTTCATCAAAAAATTAAAAATTATTAAAAAAATCTGTTTCGAAGCGAGAAATTATTATAAAATTTAGGTCAAGTTTGGCTATCCTAAATAAGTACACACTTTTTATCTTTTTATTTTTTTCCATTATATCATCTCTCTACTTTTTTGTACATCTTTTTATAAAAAGACAAAAAATACACTTATTTAAATCATCCCAAACAACCCCTTGCTCAATTATTTATGGAAGAGAGGAGGGATGGATGACAGCAGTCCGTGGGTGGCTTATCCATTCCATCTTCTTCTAAGTTCTGACTCAGTAATGCTAGTAGTAGGTGGTCTGTGTTCTAGAGAGACACTGTGCTCTTTTGTTGTGTTTAGAGAGAGAGACACACCCACACTAACGTTAAGTTGTTGGGGGCGGGCCATCCCGCCATTAATGCCCTTTCCACCCTCCCAACCTCTCTCTCTCTCTCTCTCTAAACTTGTGATCAGTGTAGTTCTACCACACACATAGGTCCACCCTTTCTCTCCCTCTCTCACCCATTTCGCGTGAAATGTCTCACATAGAAAGAGAGCTACCGCACAAAACATAGTACAACTAACCCATCCCTCACTCTCTCTCTGGTTTCTTCTCTAAGCCTAGCCTTTGATTCCAGACAGAATAAGAGGTGGGTTTAGTTTGTTTACTTGTGGTGGCAACGAAAGCCAGCTTCTTTTTATAGAAGCAATTTCTTGTTCTTCCCTTTCTTTTGACATATAGATCTGCTTTTTTTTTCTTTTTTCTTTTTTGAAGTTCTGTAGCTGAGAAACCCTAATTTTTGGAGGATCTGGTAGGGTTGGAAATTCTGGCGAAGGGAAAAAGCGAAAGCGTTTGTTCTGTTTCTTGGCTTTGGTATCAAATGGGTATTTGCTTAAGTGCTCGAATCAAGGCTGAGAGCCCCTGTCACACTGGTACTCAGAAATTTCACTCTTTATTTTAATCACTCATACATGTGTGTATGTGTGTATTCCCGTTTTGGATTGGTGTTTTTAATGGCTGAAAATCAATAGTTTCAGTTATGTTACCTAAACAAGATTCATCTTTCCTTTGGAAGCCTATTGTATTGTAGCTCTAATCTTTTTGTTTAATTATGGGTTTTGATTGAAACATTTAAGTTCCCAAAATTAATAATTGCCTACTTGTATGAGAATTTAATGTTCAATAATATTGGGTCATCTCGACATGCTTACTCTTCAGTTTTTCTGTTAATTTTAGCTGATATTCTTAGTTTACATATTGGGTCATTGCAAAATTGCTAAGTAGATGATAAGCAATGTGATGTGTATCCATTGGGTAAGTCCATAAAGGGAATTACTTGAAGTTCTGAATTTAATTATGTTTTATTAGGTTAATTGTTTCTGAAATTCCATTTTTGTTGTTACTGAGGATCAGAATCCATAACAAGAGAGGCAATTGTAATAAATATCACTGTGATATTACATTGGCTTGTTCAGGGGGGAGTTCGAAACCTGTTAGCACGGATGGCAATGATCTTAGTCGTTCTAGCAGCAAAGCATCATCAGTTTCTGTACCTCCTCGGAGTGAGGGTGAAATCTTGCAGTCCTCAAATTTGAAGAGCTTTAGTTTTTCTGATCTCAAGATGTCCACAAGGAACTTCCGTCCAGACAGTGTGCTTGGAGAAGGTGGTTTTGGTTCGGTTTTCAAGGGTTGGATCGATGAGAACTCTCTTACGGCCTCAAAGCCAGGGACCGGCACGGTTATTGCTGTGAAAAGGCTTAATCAAGAAGGTCTCCAAGGTCACAAAGAGTGGCTGGTGAGTTATATACATTTCTGTAGAATTGGCTTCAAGCTTTCGCAATGGGGCAATTTTGGTCTTTGCAATACAAGGACAAGTTTGCAATTTTTTGTCTGAGTAAGCCACATTTGTACACAAAATCATTCATTGGTCCTCTTGAAGGATTGAAAATAACATGCTTGCTTGAGTAGTCCACTTAGAAAACACTAGTGAGGACATCTTTTTTTTTTCATTTTGGTCCCTGAAGTCTATAGCACATTGGTAAGGAAGTGTGTCAAAATCAAGATCATCTGCTCCTGTCTATGCTTCATTCTATGTTCCCTTATAATTTGTGAGTTTATTGGGTTTTTTATGTCACCATAAGTGATCTTGATTCAAAGGAACAGAGAAAGATGCATGGAAGGGGACAGATGATCTGGATTCAATATTTCACGTTGATGTGTATATTTCATTTATTTGTTGTATTACTGGTCCCACAGGCAGAAGTGAATTATCTGGGGCAGTTTTATCATCGTCATCTGGTGAAACTCATTGGGTATTGCTTGGAGGATGAACACAGGCTTCTGGTGTATGAATTCATGCCTAGGGGCAGCTTGGAAAATCATTTGTTCAGGAGTGAGTTCTTTCTACCCAACTAGGACTTTTAAACCAAAATTTTCTCCTTGAAAATTCCATAACTGACAGCAAATTGTTGTGTAACAGGAGGTTCTTACTTCCAACCACTTTCTTGGAACCTTCGTTTAAAGGTTGCTCTTGGTGCTGCAAAGGGACTTGCTTTTCTTCACGGTGCTGAAACAAAAGTGATATATCGGGACTTCAAAACTTCTAATATATTGCTTGATTCAGTATGTTTCTTTGAACCAAATTTGGTGCTTTTTTCAGATTCCAGAAAGCTAATCATGGTTCTGATAGGCATTTTTTTCAATCTTTTAATGTCAGAATTACAATGCAAAGCTTTCTGATTTTGGGTTGGCAAAGGATGGGCCGACAGGCGACAAAAGCCATGTCTCCACTAGGGTCATGGGAACCCACGGATATGCAGCTCCAGAATATCTAGCCACTGGTATGTCTAAATGCATGTTTGCTTTTTGTTTCTGTTTAAATGTTGATATATGTTGTCTGAGTTGGTAATTGGGAATATTCTCATGTTACTGGCATGGGTTCAAAATTCCGATGGATTAAAAGGTTCAGGGGATTTGGGCCCGATCTGGGAACCCTGAGTATTCCTTCTTGGGGTTGTGGTCCAAAGGGCCGTGCCTAGCGGGTTCTCAGTTTTTGAAATAAGTATCTCTATATGTTGTTTTCGATTCAGGTTTCTCTTTCCTTCTGAGCCACCCAGCTAACCCATTGGAATTCTTTCCCATTTTGGGGATTAAAGTTTCTAAGCTAGCAGCCACCTACCTAATTCAACTGTCTGGCTACCTTTAGGATTGTTTTCTGTCTTCTATGTCACTTGCAAGAAGAATTTGCTATTTTGTTCATGTATATGTGATTAGGGTAAAGCTCCATCAGTTCTTAACTTTGTGTCCCTATGCACAAAGGACCCTAATAGATAAAGTAAGGGTATAGTAAGTCACTGTAATGGATCAATAGCACTTCTCCATTTGAATTTGCTTTCCGGGCTGCCTTCAATACTTTGCTTTTTTTTTGGTGGGGGGCGGCAAAACCCTGAGCCCCCTTTTTAAGTAATGTTTTGATTGATGTAATTTCTCTATCTAGCTTTTCTCAGTCCACTTTTATGTCATTTTAAATCTTGCTATCTACTGTTGCTATCAATTAAGTTCCACCTTGTTCATGAAATTTTCATCGAGTTCCATTAACACTACATTGAGAGAGCTAATTCACGTGTTAATAGGACTCACATGGAAAATTTGTGAGAAAAGTAGGACTTATTGTGAAAGTTTCCTATTTCTTTACTAGTTATTCATTCTACTTTTCACCTCTTCTAGGTCACTTGACTGCCAGGAGTGATGTATATAGTTTCGGAGTAGTACTCCTTGAAATGTTATCTGGCCGGAGAGCAGTAGACAAGAATAGGCCATCCGGGGAACACAACCTAGTGGAATGGGCCAAACCCTACCTGGCCAACAAGCGTAAAATCTACCGCGTTCTCGACAACCGTCTCGAAGGTCAGTACACATTGGACGTAGCCTACAAAGCAGCCAACCTTGCACTTCGATGCCTGTCCACAGAACCCAAGTTCAGGCCTAACATGGATGAGGTGGTGAAAGAATTGGAAGAGCTTCACGATTTGAAGGAAACAGGAAATACTCGCAGCGATCAAACCAGTGCGCCCAAGCCTCGGAGGCGAAGCGCAGGTGATGTTGGTAACGGGAACACTGCGGCTGCTTATCCCAGGCCATCTACTTCCCCACTTTATACAAAATGAATGAATGAACTTCGACAAAGCTGATTTTCATTTCATTCGAAGATATTGAAGGGTGGTTTACCAGAGGGCTCAGCATTTACCCATATCTCTGCTCAATGACTGTAGTACAGTCATTGTGGCTAGCTAATATATTCGAAATGAAACCTTCTTTTGACTCAGTCTCTAGGTGAGCTTGTAACCCAACAAATTGGACTAGCAAAATGTTTGTAAGATAGCGTGGGTTGTAACATAGCTATGGCACGTAGTTTGAACGTTGAATTGTTCAACCCACGCTATTTTTTTTATCTACGTGCCATAGCTATAGGCATGGATTGTCAATAGCTCACTTTTCCCCTAACATATGATTACCCCTTGTTTTCCTCCAAAAGCCATTTCAATTTAGGTACTGCAGCACATCGGTGTGTCTGTTTTCTAGGACTGTATAATGAATCAAATTATCTTTATTTGTATTTGATTTGTTAAAAAAATTTAAAGATCAATTCGTTACGTAAATAAATTAAACTTAGACAACCTATTATTTAACTCAATAAGTTTGTGTTCATTATAAAAAACTAAGTTACTTGAATTTAGCTCTATTAAGACTCATTTGAGATCAACTCAAAAGATAAATAAATTAAATTTAAATACATTTTGAAACTAATGATATTCAAGCCAGCCTTAAATAATTTGCTAATTGATTTGACTCGTTATGGTTTCAACCACACAGTTTGTGTCTTTTGGGTCAGTTCAACCCTAACTAGCTATCTTCAATTATTCATGGTCTGCTTTCTGAAAAATGCTCAAGCATACTTCATTGGACTTATAACTTAAAAGAGTATGTCACCAAGATAGTCAAAATAGTTATTCAAAATTTCATTTTACTATTTTTGCTAGTTATTTTTTTATTATACATTTTAATAAGGTTATATACTTTAGTTATTTTCTATTAAAATATTTTTATACGTTAATTACTTTCTTTTCCATCTTTAAAAAAAAAAAAAAAAAACTAACTTCTTTCAAATTATTATTATTTTTTATTCTTTTAAATATAATTATATTTTTGTGAAATTTACATTTTTTACTGTCATATTTTTCTATAGTCATTATTTTTTTTATTTAAAATTTATGTATAAAAATTGTATTTTTAAGTTATTTTATGAGAGAGCTGAGAAATTTCAGATTAAGAAAACAAATAAAATGAAGAAAGAGTGCCATAGAGAAACAAATGTTTGAATTAAAAGGATAAAAAATAAATAAAAACTAGCGCAAAGTATCTCGTCTTTTCTAGCGAGATACTGTAGCAAAATATTAGTTTAGCTTTACATTAGCTAGGCTGCTGCAGAAGAAATTTAAGTCTTTGGCTTGATATAGTAGAGTTTTTGGTGAGGACACGTTTTTATAAATATCTACTTATATTTTATTTAGTTTATATTATTTTATTATATTTTAATAAATTTTATGAGTAATATAGTTGTCAAAATATCCTTAATAATATTCACATTTACATTGTAAATGTTTCGTAATAAAAATGTTAACACCGTCAATGTGAATGTTCACACTATCAATGTAAATATTAATATGTCAATGTGAATGTTCACACCGTCAATGTAAATATTCACATTATAAAATATGAATATTCACATTACCAAATTGCTACCATTCAAAAAATATTTGTAAGGGTGGAAATGTCTATAAAATATTTTAAATATGAGAATTAGAATTTAATAAATCAAATGTTCAAATAATGATATAAGAATATCTTATAGATTAATTAAGATACAAACTCTTGAAAAAGAATTTTTTAATAAATCTTCTTTTTTGTTGAAATGAAGAGACTGCTGAAAATACTCTAAACTAGTTCCAAAAAAAAAAAATACTAGTTCAAGTGGCTGACTAGTTAAACGAAACTATCCAAGGAAAACAATCATTCTTAATTCATAAAATATAAAAAGGTTATAAAAGAAGTTGAAAAAGAGGGGGGGAGGGAATTTTAGCCAAAATCCTTCTATTGAATCATTATTTGGTAAAAAAGACAATTTAATTTATTTTGCTTCATAAATTTTTGAAGGAAAAAATACATAATTGAGCAAGGATAGAGTAAAAAAAAAAAAATTCTTTTTCTTGGACAATATTGTCCATGTATGTATATATATATCTCACAAATCTTTTGACAATAAACACTTTTATTTTATTTTATACAAGTTTAAAAATGTTGTGTATGTGCATTTTTTGTTCGTTTATCTAATATATATTCTGTTTTTTGTAACAGTAAAATATTACTGTGAACTAGAGGAACATGTTATTATTAGGCAAAATAACATATTACTATCAAAACAAAATAACATGTATTGATTACATCAATTTTGACGATATTTTTTTATTTTTCAAGAATTTCATAATCAATCTGAATCTTATTTGATAGATTTTGATGAGAAGATTTTAAAAATACTAATTTTATTAAAAATCGGCATTCAAATCAAAAATTATATTATTTTAAAATTTAAAATATGAAATTACCCACTACGTATATTTTGATAATAGACAGTTTTAAATTTTTCAAGAAAAACTTTTTATACTTATTCTTAATGTATTAAAGTTTTATTATGAGAAAGTTTTGATCAAATTCCCTGAAAAAAGAGTGAAGAACAGTTTATTTTGAAAATAAAGGGGGCCACTGGTCAATTTTAACTGGTGTTCCTAGATACTAATTTTTACATTAATTCAACAAAAGATACACAGTAAACATGTTTTCTACAATAGCCCCAATATTCCTTCTTTCAACAGCATTACTGAAAAATCAACATTAGTTCACATCCAACTTGAATTTGAAGCATCTCAATGATGTTGGCTGTAGACTGTATGAGAAATCTGTAGACAAAATGTTTTCCAATTTTGGTGCTGACAATTGCTGTCTAATGGTGCCCAGAAAACAAGGGAGCCAATTAACTGCAATCCACTTAATGAAGGGACAGGGACGGAAGGGAGATAGCGACAGCTCGGGGGCAACCTAGCAAACTAACACAGGATTCTGTCCGTTTTCTCACCGTCTCCCAATCCCAAATCACCTCTCTACAGTCTCTCTGCCTCTGATACAGAGAATCTGCATCCCAATATGTGTTCCAAGGAAAAGCATGCTTAATGCCGCTTTCTGAACACACTGTATATACAAGATTGATAGAAAAATAGAGCAAAAGATATAAGCCTCCAATCTTCAGGGCAATTGACGCTGGATAAATCTTCTGAATAACTGCATTTATCTGCCAATGCCAGGTAGAAAAAGGGTGGATGCATGGTGTATTCACCATGTTCTTACTATCCCAGGTGTCCAATTTCTCCAATCCAACTTTCCAATGGATTTGTTCCTCAAGCTGATCATTTCTTTTAAGTCAAAAACCCTTTTCCTGGGATTGTTCTCCTCTTTGCATGGTTCAGCTTCCTCTTCAGTTTCTTCCTGGCCATCTTCGGATTCTTTGGCAGGTTGGGGGAAAACATCATCTTGTAATGGTGTCTTACTAATGATATTTCCCAGCATCTCAACTACATCACTCATTTTAGGGCGGGATTTGGGCTGTTTCATGAGGCACTTGTTGGCTAGAGCCGCGAGTTTCTGAGCTGATTTGATGCAATACTGCCCTTCTAGTCGGGGATCTAATATAAGGCGGAATTTCTTCGAATCTGACACATAAGGCCTCACCCATTCCAGGAGCTTCTGCTCACTCCGAGGCAAATTTCGTTCCAATGCTCGCCTTCCGGTGATTAGCTCATAGAGAACCACACCAAAGCTCCAAACATCACTTTTAGCAGTCAACCTGCCAGTGTGAACGTATTCAGGGGCTGCATAACCTACTGTACCAACAACCTAACATGAAAAAAACGAGAAAATTAGAGAAGCAAGCATTTTATAAACAAAAATCAATTTATAATATTAAACACCCAGGCAGTAATCAAAACTCATCATTCATCAGGTCCCATTTTGGACACATTGTATTGCAAAGAACTATATAGCGGATGCTGCTGACTTCAACCAAGAAGAAGAAGAAAAGAAGGTGATGACGATGATAGCATCCGCATCATCATTCTTTTCATTAATAAAATCCCCTGGGTGGAGTCAGCTGACAGTAAATCCTGATATCCTGATGAGGGTCCTAATCCTGGGACTAATTTTGTTTAAATCTCACACATCCAAGAAAACAAACTTACTGCTGTTGAAATGTGACTTAGTCCAGCAGCTGGACCCTGCCTAGCAAGTCCAAAGTCTGAGAGCTTTGCATTGAATTCCTCATCCAGAAGAATGTTCGAAGTTTTAAAATCACGAAAAATTAACTGCACCAAATATATAGCAGATCAAAATCACATCATGCAACTTACAGTTGAGAAATCGTATAATCTAAAAAGCCATAATCTGATAGGGTTTCTCATTATGTACTTGTCTAAAGTTCCATTCAGTGAAATTGTTGAAGACAACTGGGGAGAAGATTACTCAACATGAAGACTTCAGACTTAGTGCAACAAGGCAATAGTGGTATTAATTTTGATGTTTACCATAGCATTGAAAAACTAGGAGTAGAAAATAATCGGCGCCCAGCAGCTGCTTGTGACAAAATAAATCAAGAGCTTGATTCCTTTTCCAAACATTACACAAAATGCTTCAGTAAGAATTTTCCCAAGGGAAATGATAATGCCACAAACTTCTCTCACACCCCGTGTGAAAGAGAAGTGTGTGGGACCAACATTTGGTGCCTGGCATTAACAGTACCCTTTTCTCAAGTGACGACATAATTGGCTTCAGTGTAGTTCATCAGTGAGAATATGAGCAGGATGTTTTAACTGATATTTAATGGTGGCTTAGACGTACTTGATAACGAGTATTCAGGATTTATCACTTACTGGCCTTCTTTAAAACTAATTTGAAGTTTGGTTTTCTTGTAGAAGCAGTTCTCTGTCACTTCTCAGCTATTGAACAAACATATCATCCAGCTTTGCAACCAGGTAAACGAAATACAAACAATCTTCAAATTATTTTGCTTTTTTTTATTTATTTATTTTTTAGAATGTATCTTAATCTTGTACTTTTATGTTTGCTGTCAGCATCCTCCATCTACAACTTTTAGTATCCACCATATTTTTTATTGGCCCGCCAAATTTGCAAGTAGAAACTGTAGTTCTGAATTTGAAAACTCCTCGGAGTGCTAGAATGAATTAATTTGTAGTCATTACGTGTAATATTGGCTAAAGCTAAGGGAAGAGACAGTGCCAATAGACTTTATTCCGGTTAATTCTTCTATTGAAAAGCAAAAGGATGAATATATGTACATACACACACATAGTTGGAATTATGCCAAAAACATCAACTCTTGCCGTGCATTCCAAGGACATTAAAAAGACTTCAACAGACAAACTTCAATCTCTTATCATAACTCGAATGATCATAAGTAAATTGAACCTATATACCCGAATAAAATAAAAATAAAGAAGAACTGAGTAAAGACTGGCTAAAGTAATCCGTGTTGAGAATGACCCTTGATATGATATGATATGTCATTCATCTCCAACATAACCAGATCTACAATTTAACAATCAGTATAGTCATGGTAATGCCAAATATTTAAACCCTATTAGCCAGACATCAGTCAGCAAACTACATTGGGATTTAAAAAACCATAATTCTAAATGTAGTTGAAATGAAATTAAAATGATTTGCATTTATACAAAGGACGAGAGTAAATAACCTGAAAGTCCATTTCTTCATGCAAATAAGCCAAACCACGAGCTGCATCTTGAGCAATTTTTAATCTTGCCATCCATGGCAGAGGAGATGCTACCCGAGCCAACAAATGGTCCTCTAAGCTTTTGTTACGCATGAGCTCATACACCAAGAGCCGCTGAATCCCTCTTTCATCATCTTCTGCACAGTATCCCACTAACTTGACAAGATTTGGGTGCTTGACTACACCCAACAAGTTCACTTCATTGATCCATTCCTTGTGCCCCTGAAAACTAGAACGAAAAATAACAAAACCCATCAGATAACCTTTAAATTTATGGAGGAGATGCTCTCAAAGCTCAAACATACAATATATATCAATCCACAGCTAGGAAATGAGATCAGTCCCATAAGCAGAGGAACCCACCCTCTGAATCCACTTCCTGCTGGTGACATAAAGGGTCATTGTAATTATCGATTTGACAACTTTGTAACTAAGAAATAACAAAAGCCTTAAAAGCTATGAAAGATATTGCCAACGAAATGGCAGCAATTGCCATGGGCCAGTGCACATTTTTTATTTTTTAAATGAGAAGAATCAGATTTTATTTAGATCAGGCACAAAACCCTCATCTGGATGATAGTGCAGACACTAATTCGAAGAAGCACAAAACCCGATGGAAAATTTGGAACTGAACAACTATTTGGTCACAAGCATGCAGTGATCATTTAATGGGCATTGATGATTAACAGAGCTACAGCCAAGATGGATCGTGTCTTATCAATTAACATATCATGAAACGCCAGAATTATGTATCCACAAAACAATTTCATTTCCATGAAACATCCAAATATGCAAATGTACCATGCTGAAAAATCTGATCTGAAGAAAGAAACGCCGCAGCACCCAAAAAGGAAAAAGAAAGAGCGGTCTCATTCAGACTTACAAACAAATGGCGCAAATATAATTTTAATTTACATGGAAAATATGAACATTGGTGCTGAAAAATCTGATCCGCACCCGAAAATGCAGGGGAAGAAGGAAAAAAAAAACTATATGATCTCATTCATCAGCCTATCTAGTCTATGAAGTCACTGCATTCTATCTTTGTTGAATTAAAAGCTTCATTGATTACACTTGCAGTTTAACAAATCGTATAATTAATAGATCAAAGCTTGAATCTTTACTCAAATACGCAACCATTGTTAAATCAGGATCAAAGTTTTTGCACACAAAATGGGTCTTTAAATTTCAAATATTTTTACTAATAGAATAGAGAACAAAAGGGCATGCCTGGAAACCATTACGATTGAGCTGTTTGATAGCGACATCCATCTTCGAATCGGGACAATTATCCTTATCGGAAACCCTAACAACCCCTCTGTAAACACACCCAAACCCTCCCTCTCCGATAATCAGAGCTCTCCTGAACCCTCTCGTAGCCGATTTGAGCTCGGCGAACGTGAAAACTCGCAGATCGTTGGCACGGCGGTGAGTGAGGAACTCGTAGAAGCCGAGCGAGTCAGTGAAGTCCCTGGACTCGGAGTCGAACTCGGAGCGCCTGGTATCGACGCTGCTGGAGGCGACGCTGAAGGAGCGAGCCCAGGAGACCTTGGAGGTCCTCGAAACGACGCCGTCCTCGTCCTCCTCCCTCCTCTCGCCATTAGTAAAATGAAAGCACTTCATCTTCTTCTTCGATCACTCAGTGAAGAAGAAAAGGACTCGAAGCCCTAGAAATGGACATGGGAGGCAGGCGATAATCCAGAGAGATAGATATTTGGGCTTTAGAGAGAGAGAGAGAATGGTTGATTTTAGAGAGAGAAAGACCGTTGATGTGGATCAACAAACTGGATTGTAGGAAAAGAATTGTTTAAATAATGAGAAAGCGACGTGAAAACAAACAAACAGAGCAGGTTCGTATCGTTCTTTGATGCATTGTCGTCATGTTCCAGAGACACTCAGTTAGAGAGAGAGAGAGTCACGAGGAATAACCCAAGGGGTTGTGGCATTGTGATAAAGTCTTGGGGTTTAAGTCCCAAAGTTACAAGTTCAATTTCACCTTTTGGGCCAAAATACTGTTGTTTAGGAGGTTGGATCTCAAGGATGTCTAATCAGCTATTTGGTGTGGGTTTAATGTTCCTCGCTGTGCGAGTCCTAACTTAATCGGAACTTGTCTTGGGAGGTCGGGACAAGCTTCCAGGTTATAGTCTCTTACTCGGAACGGACAACAGGACACCCTGGTGATCTCCTCATGGGGCGCTGCCTTGGACCTCAAGGATGCCTAATCAGCTACTTGGTGTGGGTTTAATGCTCCCCCCACGAGGAATAGGAGACTGAGACTGCGATGGTGAAGAGTGTACGTAGTGGGACGCAAAGTCACAGGCCACACCTGAATAAGGCTGAAAAACAAACCGAAATAAGTTTACTCAAATTTGATTTACGTTGTGTTTGATTAGGAAATATGAGGATGAGTTTGGAAAGAAAAAAAATATTAAATAAAATATGAATAAAATATATATATTTTTTATTTAATTTTACATATATTTTTTATTTTTTTTTTAAATTTCTCCCCAAATTTTCTAACTAAACACAACATTAGAAATATTTTGGAAAGTGATTTAAAAATCACTTTCTAACTTTTAATCCACTTCATTCTCTCATAAAAAAAGTTTAAAAAATAAAAAAATAACTTTTAATCATCTTTCCAAAACACTCCTTTACTATGCTTAGAATAATGTTAGGAATCAGTTTTACTAAAATTTTTATTAAATGTCTTATTAAGAGTGGGATTCATATCATTTGTGTTTTATGTAGATCTCATACCTATATAAGACATTTAGTAAAATTTTTAGAATTTCTAATAATTTTGTTATGCTTAAACTTGCATGGTTAGGTGATGAATCAATTTTGAATGAGTTTTTTAAAGTCCAACCCAAGTTAAGTTTAAGCTCTTTTTTGGCAATTAGGTTAAAGGTTAATTTATTGATTTTTTAATTTATTTGGTTATATTATTATTATTATTATTATTATTATTATTATTATTATTATTATTTTGCACTTTTTTAAGAAAAAACAATATAAGTTAAAAAAAATATATTTTTCAAAATAGACCTAAGTAGCTTAATTTTTTTTATATTATATATATTTATCGAGTCAAGTAATAAATTATTTAAGAAATTGTTTGGAATAATTTAAATAAATATATTTATTTGGATCATTTTACTTCATATATCAATAAATAAGTAAACTCCAAACCATTCCTAAGGTCCTATTTGGTGGTTTTTTTTTTTTAAACTAAAAATTGATAATCAGAAAGTATAAATTAAAAATATTCATTCTCTAGCTTATAAATAATCAATTTTTTAAACTTATTTAAGTTATTTTTACCTAATAAGCTATAAGCTGAATTTGTACCAAACAGTCAAGTATATACTTTCAAATTAAAATAAGGTATAATTACATTCTAAAAGCTGTAATAAACAACTCTAAGTTTGATTTAAAAATTTACGAATTCAAATTATATTTAAAATTAATTTATTTACATAACGAATTAATCTCAAATAAATAAACTAAGACCTCGTTTGGGGAGTAATTATTTTAGTTAAAAGTTTATTATAAATTATTATATTACTCTTTTTATTTTTCTACACATCTTTTTATAAAAAAATTAAAAATTACTGAAATAACTTACTTCTAAACACCATGGCGTAAGAGAGAGATAGATTCAGGATAGATTTCAAATCTGGTGCATAAATTTGAGAGATAGCTCTTTAATTTATATAATATATTAAATTCAATTCGGGTTCGGGTTGCTCGGGTTGGCCATTGGTTCTGCCCAAGCCCGGCCCGAATTGCAATTCGGGCATCAAAATTTTGCCCAAGCCCGTCCAGATTGCAAGATATAGTTGCCCAAGCCCTAAAAAAACTCGGGCTGGGCTCAGATTGCTCGGGTTGAGCCCGCCCGAGTTGCACCCCTACTCCTGCCTATCAAAGGTAAATTGGGGGGTCTTTGATTTTGGTGGAAGGCATAATGGTTAGTTTTGTGATTAGAGTTTATTTGAGGTGTGTCATATAAGCATCTTTTTTTAATTTTTTTTAAATTACATTATATTTTCTATTTTTTTATATTTTTTTAAAAATATCAAAAAATACATTTATTAAGATCATCTTAAATAAACCTTTAATTTTGCATGCACTAAAAAAGTATTTTTTTTTGCATACATATACTTATTTGGATCACGTCAATCAACATCTCCTCTTTATTTTTTTATATGTTTTTTACAAAAAATAAAAAATTATACTTATTTAAAACATCTCAAACACATTCTTAATTTGATTGCTGAGTCTTATTAAATTCATAATAAAATAATCAAAAATTAAAACAACTTATTAAAATAATAACTTCTCAAACAACTATAATAATATAAAATGCAGGCGGCGCCATATGAGGATGGTCGAAATTGCTGGCGTTTAACGATCGTAGCTGTCAATTTTTATGCAAAGGAAATTGTTATTTTTTCTATAAATGTGGGCACACCTCGTGACTTTGGAAATTGGACTAATTCAGAATTTCGAATATGCAGTTGATTACATTTTCATGATGATGGTGATTAATATCAACAAAGTCAGAAGTGTTAGAATTTTTTTTAATTAAATTTTGAATTTTTATATCTAACTCCATTATAAATTTTAAATTATCCCTGAACCTAAACACAAATTGTAAAGCTTCAAATAATTTCAAAATAAAGGCTTATTTTGGGAAGATGGTAAAAAATGACTTTTTGACTTTTAACCAAGCTTCTGCCTTTTTTAGACAAATGATTTGAGAAGTTAGTAAAAAGTGACTTTTTGGCTCTTTTGATTAATGTTTGTTTATGATGTCAAATCATAATAAAATGACCAACCTACCCCCATTTATTTAAAATATTTACAACTTCACCTATGTAACACATTTTGACTCATGAGGGTAAAATTATAATTTCACCGTTGGCTAAAAACCAACTTCCCAAATGAAAAAAAAAAAAAAGACAAAAAAGCCAACTTTTAGCTTTTGCTACAAACCAAAAAAAGTGGCTAAAAGCCAACTTCCCAAAATAGCCCAAAGCTAATTAATAACAAAATAAGTTTTAAAAAGGCTATCTTTCTTACTAACAAAATAAAAAGAAATTGTCAAACCAAAATTATTCCTTTAGCAATTATCAAATGTATCAAACATTTTTAGAATTTAAAAATGTAAAAAGCAGTTGCCAAACTTTAATTTATTTTTTAAGTGGATCTTGTTATGCGGCTGTTAAAAAATCAAATGATGTAAAAATATATAATTTTAATACACAATTCATTATTTTTCATTTATATTTTTTTATACATTTTAATTTATTTTTTTTTAAAAATGCATACCAATATTAGCAACCTCAGTTAAACATTCCCTTTATATTTTGTTAATCTCAATATTTGTCCAATTGTTGTTATTTCTACCACACATTATTGGTGGGAAAATTATAGTATTTTAATTTAAGTTATATTGGTTTAAACTATAATATTAAGCACTTCTATATCTCTTTTCAAAATGTCTCAACATAAATGGTGTGCAACAATTTTTCAAAACAACTAAAGAAGTTTAGGGTTTAGATACCAATATGAGTAGATAAAAAGGTACATCATATCCGATTAATTTATTTTTTATAGGTATATTTTACTTGATATATTCTAAAATGTGAGCGGTTCGGATTATCGAAGTGAGTCCCGAATGGGTCCATCTAACTGCACAACAGTGACTATTGTATACCTCGTACAACAGCCATCCCAAATCCATAACTTCTACTATGATTGGAACAAAACATTAGCAAAAGTTAACTTTATTGTTAAAATAGAAATTTTCAATAAATCTATTATCGTCACTAATTTTTTTTTTTCTTTTTTCATTTTAAATCAATTTTACACTTTAATTTATAATTTGTTGGGAATGATTACAGAAATTGATGTCTAAAAAAATCAATTAGTGTATCCAAAAAAGATTTGTGACAATAATGAACTTTTGTACTGGAGCTGAAAACTTTCCAACTTTTTAGCTAATCTTTTGCTAATGATAATGCTGTGAGATAGACAGCACCGACTATCATTTGAACATTCATTTCATGGTTTGGTGGGAAACACACACTCAAATCATTGTCGGAAAACAGGACAACCCCTCCCACTCAATAAGTTATTTGGTACTCTACGGGTAAGGCATGTAGTGAAGAAAATAATACTTATAATTTTATATTAAATAATTAAAGATTAATAACGATCTTAGTAATTTATAATTGATCAAAAATATAATAATGTGATGCTCCTAGACTACAATATAATTTTTCCTCCAACTCTCTTTGCTCCTTCTTGCTCTGCTCAATCTCACTGTCTCATTTCCAGCAATGTGACGAGGAAAATTGCAAAACACGTTATTTAACAACAAAATTATTCAATGTTATAGAGAATCTTGTTAGCCTTTTGTAGACTCATCATTTTTGAACAAATGCAAACAAGAATTAAATTTATTGAATAACTACAAGGACATGATTAAATTACATTTGATTTTAAAACAAATAAATATTTTGTGAAAAATATTTAAAATTCTTAAAAGATTTTACAATTTGACCCATATTAATATGATCAGATAAGTGTTAATTTTTAATTTGTTACACACCAATGATATAGAGGTCAACACCTTTGCCACATCAATTGGGGTGAATTTGTCAGTCAAAAATTGTAGATTATTAGTTTTTTTCACAGTCTACTCTCAAATTATATTTTAAGACAATTGTTGATAGGGAGCTTTTTGTAAATCCATTATCTAAGAGTCTTATTCCATAAGACTAATAATGTTTTGTAATATTCCATTAGATTCCATTTTATACTAAAAGACCAAAAAAACCCTTAAACAAACACGCGCATATCCC